AATGATTCAATTCAAATACCATTCCTCGTCACTCTCTATTGCTAAACACCTGATTCTACGATGCTCGAATAGAAATCCTTGTTTAATTGTGTTCCGTCAAAGATCCCCAAATGTGCCCTTACCCAACTGTGTAAAAAAACGTTGTAATTGTTTTTATATTGTTACATGTGATCCCCATAGAATAAAAAAAAACCTTGCTCCTCTAGAGAAGGAATTCCACGAAGTGTTTTCGTAGGCAGTTAAAAAGAATTTAGTGAAAGAACATTTTATCTAACTGCGTCATTGCCACAGCCTCCTGGGCTTTACAAATGCGCCCACCTTCTATATCTCAAACTTGCCTCTCATAATGATCGTGTTCAGCGGGATAGTGCCTCCCTATTAGTAGCTGTAAAGTAATTTGTCATTGCTGTGGCGTCCGTGATTGTAACCTGCAGTGTCTGTGACTGCGCGTACGTCCAATTGGGACCTTTTAAAATAGGAATAAAATTGTGTGAACGCCCTAACACGCAACGAGGCGGTAGCCTTTGTAAATTAGAAGGGAGTCGGCTCGGCTTCAGCCTCTCTTTTGCCAAGCAAGTAAAACACGTTGAACAGTCATTGCCAGCATGGAGGTACGCGGATGATATAATAGTGATAGCCGAGAACGAAAAAATTGCAGGGATTGATAGACATGTGCGGTAATAAGGGAGATAGGTTAAATTTGAAGTTCAGTAGTTAAAAGTCGCAAACACGTTTTTAATGATAACAAGACAGGGAGCATAAGATACAGGAAGTCACACTAGAAATAATGGATAAATACAAATATTTGGGCGTATGGATAAATAATGGAGCTGAGCACCTGAAATACGTAGTGTAACAGGAATGAAGCTGTAAAAAAATAGGTCACTGTGAAACTACAATAGGTATGATGTTGCGACAGGGATTTGAAAATGTGTCATTGTCCCGGTTTTGACGTTTGGCAATGTGGTCCTGTACGTAAAATCAGATGTTCAAGCAAAATTGTAAATTAAACAACGTGGCAATGGTAGGCTTGCTTTGGGAGCATACGGGAATAACCCCAAATCAGGGGGTACAGGGTGACACGGGATGGCCATCATTTTAGTTCAGGGAAGCTAGCGGCAAGATAGGATTTGAGGAGCGATTAAAAACAATGAAGAGGAGCGTTGGGCGAGGAAACTTTTCAGCTAGTTGAGCATGAGGAATCTTCATGCTAAATGGAGAAGGCGAACTCGAGAATTGTCAAGCAAGTATTTAGACAACAGCAGAATACAAAGCCAAAATAAAACATTGCTTTAGAAAAGGGTGAAGGAAACAGAGAAGGACATGTGGAATATCCAAATGCTTAAAAAAATCATCACTGGAGACCTACCGAACATTAAAGCAGGAAATTGCAAAAGAAAGGATCTAGGATAATTTTCAAGGTAGTTCTCTGCTGTTCGAAGGCTGGAACGGGAGCATTGCGGATGAAGACGTACTGAGCCAAATATGAAGGCACAGACACGTTATGCAGTGTGTGTGGAGAGGAGAAGGTAACTACTGAACAATTAATAGTGTTCTGTAAAGGGCTCCAAACAATAGCCCAGAATAATGGCACAGAAGTTTTCAAATCATTAGGATTTAGGGACAGTTAAACGAGTATAAATAACCAGGAGGAGGCTAACCTATTGAGGAATACAATCAAGGCGCGAGTGAAATTCAATCCCTAAACACATAATGATAGTACTTAAATTTATGGCTAGGTGGGGTGAGCCACCACCTGATCTAAAGGGCACAGCAGGATCCATCCATCCATCCATCCATTCATCCATCCATCCATCCATCCATCCATACATCCATCCATCAAATAGCGTCTATGGAAACTGTACAGAGCTGCTAATTGAAACTAAAGCAATGACCAATTCCGGGCCATCTCCTCGAAGGAAACCCTGATGGGACGCGAAGCAGCAGCGGTGCGCACGGCATTGACCTGGCTGATATGGGCGTTGACGAAGGTGCTGGAACAACTGTTTCGCGGGAGGTGGGTTAGATTTCATGCGGATTTTATCACATATAAACGAGCCGCAATAGCCTTTCCACTCGACGTGCAGTCGAGCTTTGCGAGTGGTGAATAGGAAGAGTGTGTTGAAAGTGGGTGGAGGAAGCGGCAGCTGCGGGGGCGGCGGCGTGCGTGCTGCAGGTCAGGAAGAGAGTTACGTCAGCCCGCTCCGGCGAGGGAAGCGTGCCATCCATTCGCAGCTGCGGCCAGACCTACTTGGAGCCGCTCCAACACCTGCTCTGAGGACACCGCATTGCGGCACTTTCATACAGACGCACGAACGTACCGCGTTACACACGTGAGTGAAAGAGCTGATTCGTATCTAACGTTTACACCACCTTCCCAAAGTGAACCACGAAGGGATGTGAAGCAGCAGCGTTGCGCACGGCAGACGTCACGAGTTGAACGGCGATAACCTGGGTGCTGCAAGGAGCGCTGGAAGAATTGTTTGAAACGATCGCTGACGTAGTTCCTGTGACACGTACAGGCATGTTTTAACGCATACTGTAGGCACGCGTCCGGTTTATTGCGCATTAACCAACTAGTCGGCGATGTAGCGAGTGGTGGTTGCGGAAGGCGTTGCGGCCGAACGGATGCTGCGAGTGGCAGCTGCTGGTGACGTCAGCGCGCACTGCGAGGGGAGCGTGATGTCAACGCGCAGCTGCGATTTGACCTAGCTGGCACGACTTGAACACCTGCGGTCGAGAGGATCGCGTTGGAAGCCTTCATACAGACGCACATACGTACGTCGCATTACACACGTTAATCGAAAAATCTGCTTCGCCTCTAAAATAGCTCTGCGACGTCCACCTGACTTACCTGGTTAGAATAAGGTGTTCTCCGCTTAGGCTCACTCTGGGGAAAATCCTGGTTGGGCTACATGGGCGGCACGACGCGCTTAGCGTTTCCCTCTAGTTCGACCGCGGTGTTCAATCACATCTTCACATTCCGCAGGATGATCACCGCTGCGTCCAATATTCAACGCTATTCTCCCTATCACGCCTCTTTCTCTGATTACACTCTCCATGTTGACAACTACACTTAAGACAAGGATTAGTTTAGTCATTATTGACGTAAGTCACCGGGATGCAGGTGTCACCACCAGGCGTAATGGTTGATGCATCAAGTTTTTACGGTGCTATGGCTCCCGAACACCAATATACATTATCCAAACTCTCTTATAATATTGCACACTAAACGTGCAGCTACCTATACGTAAGTGAACGCTCTAGTTTTGTGTTATACCAACTCCTATGATGAAGGAATCAACTTTTTTTTCTTAGTTGATGCGATATTGTTTATGGACACTGGTGACGGCAGACAAGTACGGCGTCAAAATCTCATAACATTGATTGATATGTGGGGTCTAACGTCCCAAAACCAAATCTCATAACAGCTCCCGCTGTAGAATTTCACCAAGAAGGAGTTGAATCTGAGAACCATTGAAATGTAGGTTCGATCACAACAGACTGAAGCCAGAAAAGAAGTGTACATATTTGCCTCTTCAAATACACAATTCAAAGCTGAACACACAAAGTTCGGATGTTGCAGCGGCTAACTGCTGACAGTGAGCGACTTGCAGCAGTCAGTAGTATGAGCTCATATAAAAGAACTGAGTTTTTGAGTAGGCTGATGTTGATTGTAGACTAATGGTAATTTATGTTGTGTTTTGAATTAAACGTTATTTTGGTTAAAGTATTTGAACTAAATTCCCAAAACTCGATAGCGCATTCAAGAAAATTGCACGTAGATATGTGTAAATAGCAATTTGTATAAAAAATACTTGATAAATATTACTTTCTACTTTTTGCAATTTATTATCAAGTCTTGTAGGAAAAGCCAGGCAGCGCACCCAGTTTTTTTTTCTATGTGACGCCAGTGTTATCAGTGTGCGTGTGTAAATGTACAAAGGGGCTAGTTCCTCAGAGTGTGCCGTGGAACACTGGGCCAGACAACTCACGGTTTCTTTCAGCTCTTTTTACGGCAGTGGTCATGTTGTACAACATGTTCTAGTGCCTCCCAGTGCTCCGTAGTACACTGGGAGACACTGTACAGCGTTTCAAGTGCCACCCAGTGTGGTAAAGGTACTGAGATACACTGGAAACGCGGTTTTCACTGATAGGGTAGGTGGTTATTAGCTGACTGCTGGGATTCGAACGTATTCCCACAATATGTGGCATGAAACCATCCTTTAACGTAATAGCTTCAAAAATTTCTTTTCGCAGAAATTCTGGTGCCCTTAAATAATAATCATCTTATGAGCGGCCGAAAAATTGAGAACGATGCAAATGAAGTAAGCGATAAAAAATTCTGGGTCACAGTCCAGGGATCATATTAGGGCTGCTTGCGTGGCAAGGGAATGTTCTACCACATGGGCTGGCATTTCCGTGTGAATCGAGTGTGCAAAGAAAAGACCTTCCTCTGCTTGGAAATGCTGGGAAAGTAGTTTTCATGCTTTACAAACACACGCATCCTGTAAGCGTGCTTAACGATGCAACATAAAATATTGCAGCGTTAATGCATCGTACGAACGCCTTTTGCCAGTGAGTGTCAGAACAGGTGAAGACTCTCTAAAGCCAGTCACCCACCAGAAAAGGCACAGACGTCACTTCTATTCCTTTAACGCCGAGGAGAGGATGCATAGCAGAATCAAAAATGTCTCATGCACTATGTGTTTCAAGTACGCACTGAGAAACAGAACAGTACTATCACGTTCAACTCCTACAGTCGAAGCTCTGGGGTCTTTTGTCCTTTGTTCCAAAATGTACGTGACGTGGAAGCAGAGGTCCAAAAAGAAAAAAAAGGTGAAATATCTATGAGAGGCATTTCGGTGCACGAACTCGGTACCCACGTGAACCCGCAACGTCTGTCACTCGTTATTCACTCTGACTTTGTTAGTGAAATCATCTTCATGGTCACGGATCCTCATAAGGGCAGCTTTAGTTGCACTTTTGAGTACAAGTACCTGTATGTGCTGTCTCATGATCTCATTCCTCCTCCAAGCTTCGCCAATGCTCGCATCGTGAAGTCTCTGTTTTCCTTCCATTTTGTCCATTGAATGTTGAAAACCCTGCAACATGAACCTTGAAAACATTAGAATTCACATGCAATGAAGTGTGACGCAATCTCAGTGCAATGGGAAACTGGGATGTCGTTTCAACGCAGTAGCATATGACCTTTTGTTTGACGTTCTTTTTTTCAGGTGTTATACGCATATACACATGTATACATACAAACATACGGAAGGATCTATATATGCACAAAATATTGTAGCAAGTAAATGGTTAGAACAATCCTTTTTTTCCACACCAACACTCATTTATTGCTTCCTCCTACGTTAAACTACCATTTTCCTTGATGGCACTAGTTGCGGTATCCTCAAATTCATCGTGAATCTTCTTGAATCGCGACATCAGAGACACAGAACAGGGAAGGGTGCAAAAGGGAACGAAAAGAGGGCGCTGCTCCTTCTCTGCCCTGTGTCTCTGGCGTCGTGCTGTAAACAAGTTCATGATGGATCACAACCAACTGACCCAACTTACAGTCTTACTCCTCAAATTAAGTTTGAATGTCCACGAAAGCACCAATGCTTTCGCATCATTTGTAAGTACCGATAAAAGAAATCTGTTTTTTATTTCGCTAAGTACAAATGGTGGTGAGCTGTCATTTTTTATTCTAGAAAAAATGAACAGCAGATCCGTTGTGATGGCGAGAAGCCTGAAGGAACAGTGGTGGCCTACCTTAGCATACCACTCAAGCCTTATCTAGAAGTAATCATTTACAGCCCCCGCCGCGGTGGTCTAGTGGCTAAGGGATTCGATCTCGCCGGGATTCGATCTCGCGACCTGCGGGTCTGCTGACCCGCAGGTCGCGAGATCGAATCCCGGCTGTGGCAACTGCATTTCCGTTGGAGGCGGAAGTGTTGTAGGCCTGCGTGCTCAGATTTGGGTGCACGTTAAAGTTCCCAGGTGGTCGAAATTTCCGGAGTCCTCCACTACGGCATCTCTCATAATCAAATGGTAGTTTTGGGCCGTAAAACCTACATATCAATCATTCAAGTAATCATTTACACCTACATACTGCCACATGATTATAAATTAGGCTTGTAACTCTTTAAAAGACAGGTTTAGGCGTCACTACATTTAATTTTGCGTATCTTTTTATGTTGCGTATCTTTTTACGTAATAATCTATTCTTTTAAATCCTTGTTCTGATATAGAATACCTGGATAGCTGAGTGCATCTCTGGGTTCCATGCTGCCTGGCGAAAAGTTTTATCTGGTTTTTATTTGATAATTCAAGGGCCCTACATGCCTCATAAAACAACGAAATTCGCCGGCGTCCCGCATTGTTCGTGTTAATATGAGTGATGCAAAAATCACCGCCTCGCATAGATACCACCAAAGATAATATGACGCTTTAACGACCTTACAGATCCCCAGAATTTACAAAGCGATATTGTAGTAACACCACGAGACGTAACCATCGCTTACGCACATGATCACAATATACCATAGCCTAATGAAAGGTGACTGGATCACGAAGACTGTGCAAAAGCAGGTAAGGTGCCTTAGAAATCTGGAGGTAGATGAAAACACGTTAAGTGACGAATCCTTTAGGCATGATGGGTGGCAGGGTATAGATCTGTCTAGAAGAATGACATGCCGTTCACCTTACATTTGTCTTAGTTCATTGCATAACAGACACCAGTGAGCTTTTTTTTTTCTTTTGATGGGGGACCAGTGAATGCGTACTCATAGGTTCGGAATCAATGGCGCTTAGTATAACCGAAGTCTTGTGCTTTAATGCAGAATACCTCGCAATGGTGCGTCCGATAATCTTATCGTAGATCGAAAATCGAAAGTTTCGTGACACCCTGTCTGAACTTCCTTAAGAGGCAATTGCAAGGGAACAGTGAATATGTAGAGATAAAGTACACTGGGAGAACGCTGATATTGCTACTTTTGTCATTGTATGTTTATTGCTCATTCTTTTCTCTTTTACCCTTCTCCTTTTTTCTCTTCTGTCCGTACTCCACCTCGCCGAGTAGAGCTTTTACCTATCTCTTGCCTCCCTTCTCTTTCCCGGCTTCTTGCCTCAGCACTCCCTCCATTTCTAGGCTACATTCTCTCCTGCCCAGTTTCTTAATATTTTTCTCATCGCTCTTCCACACTCTCCTTCACCTCACTTAAGCCCTACTCTCTCTTCGCTCTCCCCCGCACTTGGTTTAATCAGACGTTGGGGCCTCCCCGATTCTTCTGGCGCATAGCTAGCCGATGTTTCTGTGACGCTGGCTTTACACTCAGCTCAAAGAGCCCTGTTGTCGAGTATAATACCAAATGCCCGTACTTCACTTTATTTTTTTCAGGCAAACGTCCTAGATGCCTCATCGACCTGGAAATAGATTATGAAATTACGCATGCCCTGGCATCCACGAGAATTCAAGCGATGCAAGAATTTATCACAAAATGACGTCCCCATATGGCGTCATCATAATTACCCGCATGGCCTGAAGATATGACGCGATCAGGACGTCATACGATGATGGCGTCTCTTGTTCAAAAGGGGACCGCACAAGGAGACGATACCAAACCAGGTGAGGTGCGAAATCGTTGCGATGTTCTCTACCCAAGAGGGAGTGCCAAACCACTGTTCATGCAGAAAGCTTTACGGACAGGCTGGAGATATTAATAAGCCAGCTGAAAAGATTGAGCAGATGGCTTTAGAATCGAGTCCTCTTGGGCGAATGCCTCGGGATTGCGGTGATTTTTTATTACTGGAGCCTCTCGGCTTAGATATTGTGTACTCGCATTCCGATATACTTATTGTTCAACTGTCTTCAGTGGTTCGCTATTTATCGCAAGAGAAACTTATCCCTCAATGTTATGGAGCATTTATTTTTTAAGGAATTCTTCGGGATAATCATCGAGCAACATTCTGCTTTGCATATCCGATGCACTAATTGTTCTTTGAAATTCGCATTCCGAGTTAATAAGCATGGCGATGTCATAGCTAAATTAAATTTTGATACACGTTTCTCTCTAAGCCTCAAGCACACTTATTAAACACGTGGTGATATTGTTACAAGACTACTTCACGCTGAAGAATCGAAACAGACAGCGAGAAAGACTACGTGATTCTGGGATGTGAGGCATGCTTTCGCTTGCCTTCTCGGCTTAGGCTTGGCGTCGTGCAAATATATCTTAGCTGTAACCTCGTTTGTCTGTGTGCTATCCAGCAACAATAATAATAGGGGAGGTAACGCCAGATAACCGTTCTTATTTGGGATATCGCTGTTTTTATTGATTACTAGGGTGACTTTGTAATAGTATATACATCTTCAATACATTTTTTATACTGGATTCGTCTACATTTCGATTGTATGATCCGCTGAGAGTAATCATTATCAACAGAATAAAATTGTTTCTTTTTATCAATCAAGATTACCCCTAAAGGTTAATGATCGTGCGAAATACTTGACGAATGGCAACATCACCTACTACATAAATAGAAAGATGTGAAGGACTTGAAATATTAGAGGTAGTTCTGTTTACTATCCTGCAAGATAATTACAAAGGTGGCCACTAATATATGTAGAAGCACCTCTTTAGAATATATTTAACCAAATAATGAGTCATGTGAATGGTGCTTGGTGAGGGACCCCTTTCCCTTGAGGGACGCCTTTCCATGATCATTGAAAGAAAAATGATGACGGTGTGCTGACCTTTCTGAACGGAGCTAAGACCCCAGGTTGTTGGCCGATCTTGGAGCTCCGGCCTGGAGAGCGTTTTCTTTATCTGCTGATTGTCACTAAGGATCACGATGTCCACAGATCCTTGTTTCAGGCTTTGTATTGTACGTGGATCATGCAGAAGAGCATAACAAAAGAAAAATATAACCACATATTACTTCGCCTACATGCATTCACTGCAGGAATAATTGAATATATATATATATATATATATATATATATATATATATATATATATATATATATATGTATATATATATATATATATATATATATATATATATATAATCACTTTCTGCTTACGGCAAGTCATGTTATCACCCACTTTTTTCATTTAATTCATTCATTTATTGATACTGTCAGCCCTTTGCGGGCTTTTACAGGAGTGCAGTTGACTCATATAAAAAAGAAATGTGCATAAGAGAAACATAAGAAAAAGAACCTTCACTACTGGAACAAATCATTTAAGAGCACATACAACAAATATATCATAATGGCTAAGCAATAGTTTAGAGAGAAGTTAGTGAAAACTAAGAAACGAGAGCAATCACTGCCGAAATACACATCATATTTTGTGCATAATAAAACACATAATAAATATCATATCCTAATTACTAAGCACGTAATTCACACACATTCACAATCTTAGTGCATGGTATCAGAGTGCACTATATGTTTTATTGCTTCTAAAAAGTCAGTAAGCGATTTGATTTTCACAACCGAATCTGATAACGAATTCCACTGCTGAATCACCCTGGGAAGAAGCTGTGCCTGAAACAGTCATTATCAACTTTGGGGGGCGGTATGTACATACTGTGTCTGTGTCTTGATGTTTCTTGTGTTTTGATTTCAAAGTACCTGTCGTAGCTTATTTTAACGTGGCTATGAACTATCATGAAAAGTAATTTCAGCCTTTCATATTCAGCGCGTTTTTGTAGAGGTAGAAGCTCTGCAAGTTTGCATGATTTGGTAGGTGAATGGAAACGACGGTATTTATTAAATATAAACCTAGAATTAAGTCGCTGTATTTTGTCAAGCTTCAAACAGTCAGTTTGGGTATAAGGATTCCACACTACTTTGGCATATTCGATTATAGGTCTTAGCAAAGTTTTATAAGCTAAAGTTTTACCTTCGGGAAAGGCACAGTGGAGGTTTCGTCTCAGGCCCCATAACACCTTGTTAGCATTGGAACAAACTTCCTCAACATGAATGTCAAAATGTGATTACTTCACATATTCATTACAATCGGTCTAATAACTTCCCCTACACATTCCTTGGCATTATTATCTGTTACATTTTATTATTATTGTGTCAAAACACAGAAAAAATGAGCCCTTAAGTATCCATGTTTTCTCTTATTCATTAACGAGGGTCTTGTACTGGCAGACTTGGTGCCGTTAGGTGGTATACGAAAGACTATTTGTCAGCTGCCCGCTCGTATTAGGTTCTAGTGCTACGTGACAACAAACAGGCTCATAAAGAGTGTGCCTCACTCTCCTCCATGGCTACAGGTGGCGCTGACTAACACTCCGACATTTAAATTTACATATAAACCCGATAAAGTGGCTGGGGCGATAGCCGTCGTGGTAGCTCCGTGGTAGAGCATCGAACGCTTTATTCGAAAGTCGCAGGTTCAGTTCCTGCTCATGGCAAGTCATCTTTTCACCCACTTTTCTCTTTTCTTTCTTCACATTTACATTACAATGGGTCTATGAAGTTCCCATATACATTCCTATATATATATATATATATATATATATATATATATATATATTATATATATATATTAACGCGTTATTCGAAGGTCGTAGGTTCGATTCCTGCTCACGGCTGGTTATTTTTTCATCCACTTTTCTTTCTTCTTATTTACATTCCGTTGGTTCTAATAACTTCCCCTGTACATTTCTTGGCATTACTGTCTGCTAGATCTCATTAAGATTGTGTTAAAACACGAAAAAACGAGCCCTTAGGTATACACTTCTTTCCCTTATATATATATATATATATATATATATATATAGAGAGAGAGAGAGAGAGAGATGGTTCAAAGGCGCAAAAGTTCGATAATAAATGATTCTCATTTTATAAGTACCGGTAAGCGAGTGCCTAAAAGCCACCCTGTTCTATGTTAGTTGTGGCCTTAGTATGCGTACGTGCACTTGCAGACTATTTTACATGCCGCTATTTCTTCCTTAACCTGCTAAAGAACAACGCTGTGCTTCAGTTGGGGCTGCAGAAGCACACGCAATGTGTAACACAAGAAGTACTCCGCGTATATTAAACACTGCTCCACCACAGCTTGAGCCAAGCTGGACCATTTTTGGCCGTGGGGCAGACATCGCGGTACAATCCCCGTTTTATTGACTTTAAGTGTGATTCCCAGCCACCAGCGCTTCATATCAGCTTGCCTGTTACAGTGTTGCTAACATATGCATGTTTGCTGTTTGCATCGTTACGAAAGTGTAAACAACTGGTTATGTAAAACATACGCGACTGCTTAACATTTGTCTGTGCGTGCATTTGTATATATTTTCAGCACAACTTCATACTCTTTCCTCTGAATAAATATTTACAACACAGCCACTTTCCTTCCCCATGCTTCCCATGACACTAATTTCCAAGGTACGTGCACTCTATAGCGTTTTGCGGAGGAACTGCGCAGTTACCCCCGAAAGAGGGCTCTTTGCTCCACCTCAAAACGGAATGCACGAAAAAGATTGCACATGGCACGGCAAAAAGGGTACGTTCGTCCTTGTGGAGTAAAGCGCCCCTCCCCCCTTTTTTTTTCTAGGAGTAACTGCAGCAATGTTCGCGCCGTGTGCAAACGACCTGTCGGTGCCTACGCAAGCCTGTTTCCTCTCAGACGGTGCCTTAGCGCGCTGTGGTGTAGTGGTTATAGTGTACGCGCATATTGACTAAGTAGTCGTGAGTTCGAATCCCGTGGGTTCGCTGCAAATACTTCGAAATTTCATTCTGAATATCATGCTTGCACATCCATTGTACGTCTAATCAAATCCTAGCATGCAATTTGAAAGGCTGAGCAAGCCAAACAAATCCTGATTTTGTTTTGCTAACTGCTGCTCCTTTGAGGAGTAACCACTAGAGCGTGGTTGCTCTTTCGCAGTTACTCGCGAATTGGTGCAATGGGTGTAGGAAGTTAGTTACTCATCTAAAGGAGCAACATCGATACCCCTTTTCTCCTTCCCTTCCTAGAATGTGGGATCTGCAATTTTTTTTTACCTTAAGGTGTATCTTGTTTGGCTCACAGTTTCAAGCCTGTCCTACCTCATCTCATATCACTTGGATTTGTAAGCATTTTCGTGTTTAATTCTGCACTTGTATTATGTCGAAAAAGTGCTTAGGCCTGCGTGCTCAAATTCGGGTGCACATTAAAGAACCCCAGTTGGTCGAAATTTCTGGAGCCCTCTACTACGGCGTCTGTCATAATCAGATGATGGTTTTGGAACGTTAAACCTTACATATCAATCAATTAAGTCGAGCAGTGCTAACTATAGCAGTAAACATCTCAGGATAACAACAATAAAATGAAGTTTCGCACAAAAAACAACACTACTGATATATTTGCATAACTTCATCTTCCACTACACCCTGGGAAACATTTGTACTCTTCCTACGTCCGTATGGAGAGGAATATGTTTTCGGTTCTATGACAGGCAACACAATACATGTTCTGCCCTTCTTCAATGAGAGTTTACCGCTTTCTAACAGGTAATTAGTAGTTTATAGATTAACACTGATGCCTTACCTAACAACGGGGCCGTATTTCTTTGACCACTCAACAGAGTCCTTCAGCGGTAAGGTGTAGGATGACAAGCTCAGTTTTCCAAGTAAAGGCCAAGACGGTGGCCCAGGTGGCGTCTTGAGGGAACTATTCTTCTCCGTAGAGCGCACCAGCCTTGCTATAAACGCCGCTATGAGCCACGTGATAGTTATGGTGAGTACTAAACTTGCGCAGACCAGCAGCACGTCCTACAAAAAATGATGAATTTACCACAACTTCGAAGCGATGAATGGAATATTAACTAAGTGGAACTCTGGCGCGATTATAATCTAAACGCTAGCTATTCAGATGCGGCATGGCGCAACTTTTTTAAACGTTGTTTAACTATATAGACGATTATATTGTTCTTTTGTATAAAGTACATTTCTTCGCTGTGGTTGCTTTGCACCTATATATGTATGTAATACGAATGCCTGATTTCTTTTTCGTTTGTGATACCAATCTGATTTCTTTTGTATTGAATAATGGAATTCGCCATATCTCGCACAAATTTCTAGTTCTTGTCTAACCCCCCCTCACCCTCACACCATGTTCAACAAATAAGAACCCATGAGGTATTTGTATGAATAAATAGGTTAATGTCGCTAAAGTTTGCTTATCTCCTGGGATGTGAGATAAGCGGATCTTGTGCATTCTGCGTCAACGTGGATCAAGCTGCGGCAAGTGCTCTACTAGTGTCTGTCGAATAAGGAGGGGGAGCCAACTGATAAGGGGGAATTAACTGAATCAAGTTTGGGCCGAGGAGCCTAGTTAGTCACCATTGCTTGATACCACGAAAGACCTTTTTCAAGTTTGTAAATCAAATAGAAATCGCCCTGAAACACTGAAAGAGTGGCTGAAAAGGCGACGAAGAGAGCAATCTGCAAGTCACTTTCACCTTCACCAGAGCAACTGCTTAGGAGGCTACACAGTAATACTGCCAAGAAAAAAAAAGTAGTCGTGCTGCACTGGACTGACAAAACAGCAACTCTCATCAGAGTAGGCCGACAACGCTGTCTTTGCAATTATGACGTAAGCGGTGTCATGCGTGTTACTACATAAGCGACTCAATTGTTCTATAGAAATCATCGCCAGCCTTCCATGTCGCCGTCCAGCGTTGTTTCTTGCTTGTTTTCATACACACGCACACGCACACACACACACACACACACACACACACACACAGAGAGAGAGAGAGAGTTCAGGCATTGACGCTTTGGCTCCTACGACGAGATTCGTGTCCGAATTGTGTTTATTTTATAAAGATTATCCGGACACTTACACCAGAAGCTCGTGCCCCCGTTGTGCGGTGGCATGTATCTAGATTATAGCAATTGCTCTGGAGATGCCACTCCTTAGGGTTGAGCGATGAAGCCAACCCCGCAAGGTGTTACTCAGACAGCAGAGGCACCCACAAAATAGATAAGCTTTGGGCTGTTTAGAGAGCTCAGAATATAGTGGTCAGGCTTAGATGTGCCGTCTCAAGGTTGGACACTTCGCACTAGCTGCGTCTATTGTGTTTACCAAGAGTGTTCTGCAATGTAGAGCACTTCGTTCTCTTCCGTGGGAGAGGATATAGCCGTTCCGTAGGCCATTGATGAGGACCTGTCGAACGAAATCACGCATGGCATTCTACGCAGTGCTAATTTGGGCCTCACACTTGATGAGCCCGCCTCGACAACTGAACACTCTCAATAAGGCCAGTACACTGAGCGAAATTTCTAGAAGCCTACACCACCACAGAAAGAAAGACACACAGAGAAAGAGCGTCTAGAAAGTTCCCTCAGTATTACGAACCAACTAGCCCAAGAACAAGTACTTCGAAGGCCAGAACAGCCAATTCTATACATGAGACCTGTGCTAGTTGAGTATTGATCTCTGAAGCCCTGCAAGTACTATTGCTTTTGTTATCAAAAAGTTAAGGGTCGCTTACCATGACTTGAAATGATGTGAGTATGCGTTACGTTTTTGCTCGGAACATTATTCGCAACAAACGGCCTCTTGTAGGACGAAGCTCCATTTGCGCTTGTTTCACCAAAAGCGCAAAAATACACGACCACTTGCATCATCCGGTGACGTACAGACGCACCTGCGCTCAACAAAAATATATGATACATGTATGCATATTTCATAGGGCAACTTGACGGGAAACTGCCTGTGCAGTTTTTTTTATGTACAAGCATCCATCTGTCGCACAGTCATTTAAGGCAGCTTTTCATACAAGCACATACATTTTTCAAATAAAATAAATTTTTATCCTCGCCACTAGGTCTCAGCCGGTCTTTGCCCTCCACGCATCGCGAGTGAGTGTGTTAACTTTTATGCATGAATGTAACTTGTCTATGTACCAACCTGTGTCGTTTTTATGTATGCTTGTTATGCCAATGGGCCATCTTTCGAATTAAAAAAAAAACTCAGTTTCACCGCCACGCTTGCTGAATATAACATATAAGAAGGACGTAAATGTGACGAGGTTATTGTAATTATTTGTCCTAAAGTGGTTAACTGCGCACATTAAGCCATGCTGAATATCTGAGTTGGCACATGTGCATTGAACTATGTTGACCATTTAGAACAGGTGCTTTCCAATACTTCTGAGAGAGGTGTAGTGAAATTGTAGTTTCACAATTTTTCTGTTCAACTTTATGAATTAGTGTTCACTTTATTCAGAATTTTTTACAGCATATTTTGTGTGCTTAGCAAGAACGAGTAGCCGTTGTCCAATAAAAGCAGCGGCCCCTCTTGCTCATTATGTCACTTCAAACAAAAAAGTTGTACCCGCAGTGCAAAAGAAATGTAAACAGAAAACAGTTTCTTTAGGGCGTTTTATAAATCTTACTTTGGTGACGTGAAAATTATCTCTAAGAAAAGAAGTGAGCTGACTATTGAGGCCTGCTTACAGCAGAAAAAAACATATTAATCACAAAAACTTTATTTCTATCTCGATTTTTGAGAACAGCGTGCTGAATCATCTGGTTCGTCTATTCGGGTGCTCAGTAACGCTAGAAAGCAGGTGGAAGGCTGAATGGGGATGCATCCGTGAGCAGCGTTGTAAGAGAAGCCAAATCATTCGACAAAACTCTACGCTTACGCGTAGTATTTACTACTCCCAAAGCAACACTTCTCGTATATTCCTGTTTTTCTTACTAGTGCTGAACAACGGATCTAAGCCCATACTTCTTTTCTCTTGTGAGGCCTGAAGAATTCGTCACTGAAGCCGCGAGACAAACATTTCATAATACAAATATCAAGTGGCATTGAAGAGATAATGGTTGCTCGGTTGTCTGTAAATATACACAATAAGTGGCACATTGTACCTTACTATACTGTACCTGACTCGATAGAGTGTTTCCGCATATTACCGTGGTGCTTTTCACCACGCCAGTTTTCCCCAACAAGTTTTGTTGCACAACAATAAACTGTAGCTCAAACGACTAAGCTAAGAGCTTACCTCAGATTGATTTCCTCAGCCTTCCGGTTAATCTAGTCTATGATCGGCTGGGTGGCACTTAACGAGTCTTGAATTATCAATACTGATCAAGCCATAAATTTGAGAGCTTCAAATTGCGTTTTTTTTTTACAAATCTTATACCCTACGTATTCGACGTACCTTTTCTGGTAACCTTTGCAGTATTTAAAAAAAGAGCATAGTACATTGCCAGCCACAATCGGCAAATAGCGTCAAATAAAAGGGCTGTGCGTGTGGCAATGATCAATATTGAGGCTATTGGTGCAAACCACAATAGCCCGCACCTAGTATTTTCATTATCTGGTTCATCAGCAATGTGATGGTTATATAACACTGATGCGCCTACAAATCCTGTCGGTGGGAAGTTATTTTTTCGTCCAGTTTTCTATCTTCACATTTACACATCAATTATTTCGCATAACAATTCAATGCCATCCCTGGAATTATTGTGCGTTTATTCTCATTTATAAAAGCGAACATGTATGTCACGCGCGAACTGTGTCTGGAATCTGGTCCAATCAAGCTGTCCTATTGACTGCACCGAAACGTGTCCTGCGTACAACAGATTCTCGCCAATATTGGCTGCTGGTGCCATTTTCTTATCCAGGAACTATGCTTTGACCTCATTTTGTTGTATGTCCTAGACATGTCGCAAGATGATGACTTGTTTAGCCGCTGTTTTCTTTTTCTTATTGCCTAATGCAGCCGCACGAATAGCCGGTGTGCCGCTGCGAGCCCAACTGCATTGAACGTGCAGCCGACAGCTAACATACTAGTGCGATACAAAAAATACAGCCATCTGGTTCTGCGCGTAATCCGTGGCATCCATTGGTGCACACAGTAGCCGATGGCATGACAACCTGACTGTACTATTGGATGTCGGCGTTAGGCCGCCTTCTTTCAAACCACTCGCCACAAAATCAGAATCAGAATCAGATATGGTTTTATTTAAATGTCCTTAGTGATTGATTTTTTAAAAGTTTTTCTATTGACTGGTTTCATTTGCTGGATTGTTCCGAGGTTGTACACACCAGTTCAATCTGATATATTTAGATACAAAAAGCTTGCTTCACGTGACTACCATTTTTCACGTAGCTTTGTGACCCTTTTTGATCAGTTGAACAATGTTCGTGCCGCCACTTTTCTATTAGGATTCAATAGCCAGCACAGTATCTTGGCGCGCACCTTTTTTATTAGTTAATGCTGAAGTTCTGAATCGAAATGTATCGAAAAAAGAGTATTAACAAAATGGGTTTTTTTGTTCGTAAGATTCACTCAAGGGTCACTAAACACGATAGAGTGCATTCGATCTTCCTATTTGTGTAAACAATAGATGAAGGGTCATCTGTATAACGCAATATCTCGTTGAGATTGCATGACATTTTAAAAATCGATGCGCGCAGAACGCATTCGTTTCATGTACGTTTCACGCACTCTTATGCTTCGTTTGACAGTTATAGCCCGATTTCTGAACGTATTGGCATTCATTCAAGCGTAAAAGCATCTTTTTCTACAAGCGCCAAGATTCACCATTCGTTGCGTTATAGTCGGCATGTAGATATGTATGTACTTATAGTAAGTGCAACCATACAACAACGATGCTGAATTGAAAATCATGCCTTGTTGCGTTCTGTTCTACCGGAAAGTGAATGTGCCCGCGAGAAGCGATGGCCATTGCCCAGATATGTTTCTTCCTGACTACCCTTCTTCAGCGCTTTCGCATTCTTTCTGTGGAACGTGAGACGTACAATATTTCACCATTCGGATGATCCTTGAAACTAGCGGACACGAAGCTGTGATTTATTGCCTGGTCAGCTGGAAGTGAAAGCGATCGTTTACAATACGAATTCAACGCGTGCATGTAAAGACATTGCTAAATATTTTTACAATCGTTACAGTATGTGGTTATCAAGGCTTTTGTTCAGACAATGATAGAAACTCGTTCTTTACAAAAAGCGTTGTCAAGACATGTTATTTCACATATTTCTAGTAAGCAGGTTGTTCTATTTCAACAAAAATAATTCATATATAAAATAGGTGAGACTCCAGGCACCAATGCACAAGGAGGCAGCTCGTTTTTCTTAATGGGCCTTTTTCTAGTCCGAACATCAACCCAAGTGGAATTCACCGAAATCAAAACTGGTGGCTCTTGGACTCCCAAATTGCCCTCCGCACTCCACTAGGCACTCTCTGAGGCCTGCGTTCGCGCCTCTCTTTGGGGAAAGTATTTGCATGTTTGCGCCACCAGATTCCACGTATTCCACACGTGCCGTCAAGTTTTGGCCACCAAAAAATTGGCATATCCCACGTACACTGACTGGGAATAGATGATATGCGAAGCACGAATGAGGAAAGTTCATATGTCACTCTAAAATCAGTACAATGTTAAGAGGTGGAGGTGACTTATGCCGTACGTGACTTACGTGTCATGATTGTCATATTTGGACGTATCGTTTACCTCCATCATCTATTCGAGTCACGTGATCCTAAATTCAGTAAATGTGGAGATGGCGAAACGGCCACGAACAAGCAAGAGCGTGGTACGTTGTCATTTTCTTAAATGACACGCTTGTCCGCATTATCATATTCGCACCAGTCATATATTTTCGTAATCCATTGACGTCACGTAACGCCAAATTTGCTATTAGTGGAGTTGAAAAAACGGCCACGAACGCATCATTAAGAGCCTAATATACTCCGATGTAGTGTTGATGCGCGTGCATGCTGGGCACAGCGACGCTGCGTTAGCAAAACGCGAGCACTCTATAGTCTGACACCTGGCGCGACCGGCACCACCAGCGTCCATCGGCATGGCCCGACTGACAACCGGCGCGAAATGCGACATGCTCGCGCCGATGCGTTACCCAGAAAACACTGCGTCTCCCTCTTTTCGTGACGGAGGGAAGCCGGACGCGCTGAAATGCGCATGCGTCAAAGCGACGCGGTGCGGCGCGCGCCTATATTGCAGGCCCGGCGTCTGGCGTGGCAACGGCCGCGTGACGCGACGAAACGAACGCTAGTTAGCACGCGCACCGCGTCTCGCCGAAATGTATTGGCGCCTTGACTGTGGTATTTAGTCATGTTCTGACATGACACGCATCTGATGACTATCACGTTTACCCTAGTCACATACCTTCGTCCTAAATTGACGTCACGTAATACAAAATTTGGCATATGTGAAGCTAGCGAAACGGACGCGAGCGCATCATGAATGCGGCACGTAGTCTTGTTGTTACATGACACGCATGTCATGATTATCATGTTTGAATGTGTCTACCTGTGTTCTTCATTCGCGTCGCGTATACCGAGTTTGGTACATATGAAGCTAGCGAAACGGCCGCGAGCACATCATGAGCGTGGCATGTAGTCATGTCGTTACATGACACGCCTCTCATGATTATCGTGTTTGCACCTGTCACATACCTTCGGCATCCATTCACATACCGTAATACCCCTTGGTATATATGAGGCTAGCGAAATGGTCGCGAGCGCATCATGAGCGTGGCATGTAGTTATGTTGTTACATGACAGGCATGTCATATTTTCATGTT